CAATGGTGTTTGCAGAGTCCAGTGGGCCCCAATCCCTTTAATGCAGCCCTGCCCCCCCCCCCTTATCTATAGCAAGCAGGCACTGAATACATTTTGCTTGTTGGACAGATTGGTTTTGCCTCCACCCCCACGCCGGGTGTTATCAGCACCGCACTCTCCCGAGTGAGCCACGGGCTATACATTTTGCTTGTTGGACAGATTGGTTTTGCCTCCACCCCCACGCCGGGTTCAGAAGAGGTGGTGTAGGAAGCAATTGGATTCTTCTCAAAATAGTCACAAAAATGCGGGTTAGGCCTGAGAGAGGACGGACAGAAGGATACCCACCGGGCGCTGGGTCAGCAGCCAACTGCCGGCCCATTGCTCTGATCCGCCCACACCAGGCTGGCTGCCAGGAGTGGATGCCGGAGCTGCTGGCCTGGCCTGGCCAGGCCTGTCCACACTGCACGCACGTCCTTTTCCTCCTTTCAGCACACCTCCCACTTTTCCAAGCACTCAGACCTTCCTTCCCAACTCCCAATCTCGGAGGATGCTTGCTCTGTGAGGACAGGCCAGACCCTTTTCTTCATCCTCATGTGGCTTCACTCTTTCTTCTGGAGATGGTGAACGACATGGGACCTGGGGACCAGCCACCAGCTCCTCACACCACGGTCTTGGCCCTTCTTCATGGCTCAGCTCCTCCCATCTTCAATTTGGCTCTGATGCCTGAATTTGAAATGCCTCTTTGGTGTGATAGTTTGTAAGCTCTGCATACAGAAATGAGCCTGTGCACCCTGGAAGGTACCAGAAGAAACTGAAGTCTATGCAGAGGCTAGAGAAGGAGGCTGGACCTGCTCTGCCTCTTGGGAGCCCAGGGCCTTTGTACTTCCTGAATCCTCTCCACCCCCACCCTCCTTCCCTGTGACACTTGGCCAGGATCTCACACTCTGAGGTCCCAGACAGCTGGAGACTTAACCTTCCTGTAACTTCCTTATGAGTATGTCGAACCTGCTCACTGAGTTCCCAAATGACCTGAAGTCCGAGTAGAGGATGCAGATGAGTAGGACCGCTCCATTCCACCCCAGGATCCCCAGCCTGGTCCCCAGCCCACCTGGCAGCAGCAGTAGTTTTCTTTCATTTTTATCTTGATTCTGAGGAACTGGCATTGGCTGCACTCCTCGTGGCCAGGCCAGGAGCAGGAGTGCAGGTTTAGGATGCCAGGAGAGCTGTGGGCTGATGTGGCAGGTGCTGAGGGGAGGGCTGGCTCCTGGACCCTTTCCCACAGAGTCCATTCAGGGTGGAAGAGTGTGACTGCAGGTGGAACGGAACCGGACTGTAGGGAAGGAGGGCAAAAAGTAGAAACAGTGCCAACCCGGGAAGGAAGTGGGAGGAAGCCCAGTAACCCCCGACTTACATGCAGAGTCCAACCACTTCTCACCACCTGCCACAGCCAATTCTACATGTCCACTTGACTGAGCCACAGGGTGCCCAGATAGCTGGTGAAACAGTATTTCTGGGTGTGTCTGCGAGGATGTTTCTGGATGAGATTAGCATTTGAACGGGTAGACTGAGAAACCAGATGGCCCTCCTCATTGTGGGTGGGCCTCTTCAATCCATCCGGGGCCTGAATAGAACAGAAAGGAGGGGGATTTGCCTCTTTTCCTTCCTGCCTGCCTGTGTGCTGGGACATGGTCTCTCCTGCCCTCAGAAAGGAGTCACCACCAGCTCCCCTCGTTCTCAGGCCTTCAGACTGGGAGCAGAATCACACCAACCATCTTTCCTGGGTCTTCAGCTTGCAGACGGCAGATCGCGGGACCCCTTGTCTGTATACCCATGTCCTGTGGGTTCTGTCTCTGTTAAGGACCCTGACAATAACCCCACCCAAACCACCGCCATACTTTGCAAATATGACAGCAGCCACCTCCTTGCTGTCTCTTGCCTGGGCCCCTGCTCCCTTCATGGCATTTTCCCTGCAGCCAGGGTGATCCTGTTGAAACATGACTAGGACTGCGTCCTCCTCTGTACAGCCTCCTGCATGCACACATCGGACCAGAGTCAACTCAAGGGGATCTGACCTCACAGCCCAGTACCATCCCTCTGACTGCCCACTCCTTGCCTCCACTCCAGCCAGAGTGGCCTCTTGAAGGAAGGGCCCTGGCATGAGGCTGTTCCCTTCTGAGGAGTTTCTTCCCTCGGGTATACACCTGCCCCTTGCTCCTAACTCCCATCAGGCCTCTCCTCCTATGTGACCTTGTGCCTGGCCACGCTTTCTAAAATCCCAATTCCACCACACCCATATGTCATATTCCCTTCCCTGCATGATTTTTCTTTTTTGCACTAATTATTATCCAGCACACTACATGTTATATTTATTTATTTATTCCATCTTGTCTGTCTGCCCTACTAAAAGCTAGCTCTGCCAGGCTAAGGGGGTTTGCTTATTTCATTCACCACTGTATCTGCAGTGTCTGGAACAGCACAGCACCCAACACACAGCGATGAAATTACCAATGGATGAAAGGCCACCGCTCCACGGGGAATCAGGCGAAGTGCTCCTCTCTGGGATGGCAGTTGCTGCCTCACTCACTGGATATCTGCGCAGCCGTCTATTCTATCTCCTGAGAGCAGAGACACCAAATGCAAAATAATTATAGGAGTGATTATTACTCTGAATACAGAATCAGCCATGCAGTGTCAGGGGGCCAGCCTGCCATGTGCCAGACACATACACACGAACAGTCACGGAACTGCATCTCCAATCTGCTGGTAAACTGCCCTGCAGAACCACAGTCATCTCCCAGGGGCTCTAGAAGGACATGATTAGAAGGGACTAGGCCAGATGACAATAGACATGGAGAATAAGTGCCAAGCTGGGCGGTGATAATTCCATGCCAGGCAGCACATGCAACCCCAACAGCACCACCTCTGGATTAGCCCAAACAGCAGCAGAACAGTGGACAACACTGAACTATAACATAGTGCTCACTCGAATTATATGGGGACACGTTACCACTACTGTGAGTCAGGTGGCCAACTGTGACCACCCAACGGGGCTCACCTCCCACCCCCAAGGTAAAGCAGACCTCAGGGTGCCCAGGCTCTGACACAGCCCCTTCACTCCACGGGAGGCGTGGGCAGGGGTGGCCAGGTTAACGAGTGTGAAAACCATCATCATTCTTTGAGAGGCAGGGGGAATGTGAACCAGCGTGGGGACTGGACTGTCCAAAGGCCGAGGATGGCCATGTCCTTCATCTAATGGTGAGTCACCCCAGGGACAGGTAAGTAGATCTCATCTTTGCCAGGACTTCAGCCCTGGCCAACACTCCAGATGGCCCAGGAGGAGTCTGTAAAGCCAGTGACTGTCCACCAGGTGGAGACCAGGATGGCCGGGGAAGGGAGAGGCAATGACCACTGGCCATGGCATTGGCTGGCCTGGCTCCAGGCAAGCCTGGAGGGGAGGAGAAGCCTGTGTGGGCCAGGCAGTCTCTTAATAAGCACAACCCAGGGGTTCAACAAATGGGAAGCCTTGGCTTGGAATTCACTCAGAACAGAAACAATAAGCGCATTCTCCGGGCTGGTTTCGAGAACACTTGCTTCGAAAAGCAACATATGCTGAGATCCACTGCAGTATTCACTAGCCCCCACCCCCAATTCCCACAGGGAAAGCCCCGAAGGAATTGGGGGACCACAAAGGCAGCCCCTTCTGTTGTCAAGAAGCTGCCTGAAATTCCTCCTTTGCCCCCTCCTGCGTTTCCCATGCTCCCTGCAGCAATTAACAAGCGGGGGGGGGGGGGGGGGGGG